CCCCCGGCCCTCACCCACAGGCGGGTTTCCTGCGCTGGGGAAACGGCGGAGTGCGGTGCTCCCGCAGTGCCCAGCTTGTGCCCGAGGAAAGCACAGGGCAGCTGTCCCAGAACATGGCCCTGCGTGTGGGCTCAGCATCCCAAAACAGCCAGTGGGACAGGCAAAGCCTGTCGGGATCCCCTGGGGAAAGGCTGAAGTTGGTCTTAGAAAGAAAGCGCTGGGTACACCGTGGTGGCTGTTTCGAGTAAGACCTATCACCATCTAAACTGTTGAGCGTTAGCTGTAACGGGAGCTTGGGGACTCGGCTCACAGTGACACGTCTGGATGCCATTCAGTGTCTGCACATGGGCCCCTGGTGCCATAGGGTGTCCGAGATATCCACACAAATCTGCCACACGTCACGCAACACCTATTGGATGTCTTCCTGCTGGATATCTTCAACCTTACTGAGTAGCAGTTGGAGACAACCAAGAATCCTGAAAGCACCTGAAACATCTCTGTGTGCTTGTGTGTGGGCAACTGAATTAAGCCCCTTTTGTTATGCACATGGTGATTAATTGAGGCACGAGGAGTATGACTGCACAGTGCTGAGTGAGGAGGAGTGGTGGAGTCACTGCCTACTCGGCGTGGGTTTCACCACTGCACAAAAAAAACCCAAGTTTCTAACATCCAGCTCTTCTGGCGTGACGGGGGAGTTCCTGGCTGAGGTTACATTATCCGCTGGGCTCTGTGTTTAGAGAATGCTCCTGTAAAGCTAACCTTGCCCAGCTACAAGCAATTTCAGGGACTGGATGAATGCTGGCGTGTTCCGTTAGGAAGTCACATGAACGGAGATCCACATCACCTAGTTTTGGGTGTCCAAACTGAGGCGTGTAAATTGTACCGGCCCTCTCATCTTCAGCTATGGTGAAAGACGGAGGGTTCCAGTTATTCCAGGTTAAGTTCCTATTTTTGTCATGGATTATAAAGAGAATCAAACATTCGGCTGACACAGCAGAGGCATCGATATTTCCGTGAACTGCATTCCTGGAAATGAATGCCTTGGAGCACTGAAGGCCTCGCTGAAGGCAAGGTCCATGTCATCTGCTGCTCTGCCCTGATGGAAGAAAGCAATCACATTTTTCAGGCACTGTAACTCCACCATGACTGTTCCGCATCTCCTCCACCTGCCATGCCTTCTAGGAGGACTCATTCCATGTTTTTTCCTGGGGACTGAAGTAAAGCTGGCTGGCCTACAGCTGCCCAGGTCACCTGAGCCTTTTTTTGACAGCAGTACACAACTTGCCTCCCTCACTGCGAAGGCTCCCCCAGTCCCCACGACTTTTCAAAGCGGAGATTACAGCTCTGCCGGAGCATCAGCCAGCTCTCCCAGTGCCCCAGGCAGCTCTCCCAGTGCCCAGGCTGCAGCCTGTCCGGCCCCATGGACTTGCACGGTTGAGATCCAACGAGCAAACACTGTATGAATCCTCACAGGTCCCACCGTACGTCAGTGTGGACAGAGGTGCTGATGAGATGGCTCCGTACCCTCAGCGTCCCCTCCTCTGGTAAACGAGCTTGCCGGGCACCGACCGTCAGCTAATACACAGAGGGGTACCCTGTGGGGTGGGGGAAATCGGGAGCTGACCTGGAGCAGAGCCAGCTAGCCAAGCACCTGAAGATCTTCCAGTCCTTGCCTCCCAAGACACCGAGCTTTTAGTGAGTGTTTCCCTCCATCCTTACCTCCTGCTCAGCCTCATTTACCCGAGCTTGGGATTGGCATGTGGCATTGTGTACCTGCCCTCAACCTTCTCATGTGCAGCCCGAGGTCCTGATGGCTCTCCAAAGAGCTGGACAGAAAGCCACGGCGCAGAGCGTATGGTCCATCACCTGTTTGGGAGGAGCTCTTCCTCCAGGTGTCCTTGAGCTGTTGTAATGGAAGGCTTTTTGCAACAAGACCGGTGCAAAGAAATTCAACTCTG